TTCAATTACTACGATATCTATAATAAAATGGGCATAGTCAATCAAAGTGTATCGTTGCGAAATATATTTTATTTACTGTTTGATTTTCGAATAACGAATAACACAACATCAAGACACAAAACATCATTGGTACTTCATCGAATAATTGTAAGGAAAAGAGTAACGTGCCATGAAATAGGATCGAACCAATTCCTACCACAATTATCCTTTAGTAAATTAGAAACGGAATAAGTAAGCAATTTTTAGAGATTGAAGATGGTTAAAGATAATAATGATAACTATACAATAATTATACAATTACTATACAATAACCATACAATAATGATACAATAAATATACAATAACTATACATACGAAGCAAAACATATAGAAAATCGAGTTTCAAAGCCTTTCGAATGCTTATAAATCCCAAATATTCCGGCAGAAACCATCCATAAGGAAGAAATAGTATTGAAAAATTCAGCAATATAATGAGTTACTTCATAATTTCTCTCACACCAGTCTAGTTTACGTGAAATCATCATATGAATATATCAACTAATAAATTAATATGGATGTGCACGACGAGCCGGAAATTTTAAAATAGTAAATTATGATTTGTAATACTTACCAACTAAATGTTAAAAGATCAGAGGAATGAGATGAGAATTTATTAATAAAAAAGAATAGAATAATTTCATACATACTTGTAGCAGTCGGCTCGCCCCAAAATCCAACGACAGAATCCATCTTTTAATAATAACAAAAATCGGTTTTTTTTTCGGTAATCCTATAAAAAACGAAACATCAATCAACGATGGAAAATAAAAGATGTAGAATTATTATAAATTGTAAATGGACAAGTGCATTCAAAAAAAAGGGGTTCTAAGTCAAGCTGATTATTAAAGTAAAAAGTACAGTCCAAGGAAGGAAAGAAGGCACATATATATAATATCGATATTCTATAAAAGATAAAACGCCAAGCCGTCATTATCTTATTAAATCAAAACACTATTGGAAGCATTAACGGAGTTTCTGTATTTTACTGCAAAATTTTATAGGCTGATGATAATAGTAAAGTTTCTATTGATAGAAACAGTAAATTTATCGCTATGATTAGTTTAGTTACCTTTTACCAAGATCAAATATTTATCGTTGAAGGAATAAAAGATTTCGATGCGTTTTTAAATAATTTTTTACCCGTCAAGGACAACCACTAAAGTGATGGTTCTCTGCTGATAATCAAGGGCCCATTAAATATTAAAGTTCGATTAGCGTTAGATTAAATTCCGCTCGCAAAGGATATTTATAAACAATATATATATGTGTATGTATATAAATATATATACATATACATTTATGTATATCTATATATATTATATATTAAATAGATTGTTTAACTGTGTACGTATACATTAACGTATTAACGTTATAACGTTAGTTAGTCCCATGATCACCTAATCTGATACAAAACAATTGCTAATTTCACATTCACCGGGTCTTGTAACGCTCGTCAAATTCAAATGCCTTATGACCCAGATTTTCAACGTATTCGTGGATGTTCGTACAAATATATATATAACTGTGCTCTTCAACACAAATTTGATGCCCGGGAATTTTACTTTTTAGTAATGTCAATAACGTATAATTAATAACTCGCGGAATATAAACTATTCTAAAAGTAAAAACTTTCTATATTTAGATTACACTTTTATGCACGTAACGGTAAACATTGACAAATCTAAATGGTGGTACAAATTAATCAAAATTAATCGTGGGAGTTTTCTGCGCCATGATCACAAAAATTTATTTATCGTTATTATTACGTATCGTACGTACGTACGTACGTACTGTACGTACTGTACGTATTCTGTATTTAACATCTAATATCAGATATATAAAGATTTTGTAAACGAAATACATAGTAATAAAATTTATTATTATACATACAGTTCGGACCTTGGATATTTAAATTCAATTACTACGATATCTATAATAAAATGGGCATAGTCAATCAAAGTGTATCGTTGCGAAATATATTTTATTTACTTTTTGGTTATTTAACAATTAATTATCTTGTAAATATTTGTACATTGTCATTAATTTCAATTTGCAAATTAACTACGAAAAGACAAAAAGTTATTGGTTCATATTGGATATCTATTGGATAAAATAGATTACATCATCATTTTTATTTTAAATACTGTGTGTTGTACCCTACAACAATTCTTTTGATTTATGTTCGTGTACGTACATAAATATGATTGCATCATACCTAAGTGCTGGTATAGAATAATAAAAACCTACAGTGTCTATGAGTTTAATTATTCCATTCTAATCTAATAGGATTCCGAACTCTATTATGATTCCATTCCCACTTACAACAATTCCTAGGTTCCATTCCTATTTACAACATAGCTAATAAGTTTTTTATTAATCTTATTTGAATTAGGAAATGTTAAAAATAAAAATCGGTTGTTGCTCAATTCCCCGAAAGCTATTTACCCGACATCACATAGGGTTAGGGTTAACATTTTATTAGCTGTAGGTATATATTTTTAGCAATTTGTCACCCTTGTGATGTCGGGTAAGTGGCCTTTCGGGTAAATAACTTTCGGGGAATCATACCGTAATCATTTTACTTGTAAAATTTACAAAATTTGATTAGGTAAATATCAAGATTTAAATTATTTTATTTTAACTTTCTAAATAAAATAAGCAATACCCCGCACTGCCTTAGTACCCCCTATTTAATATATTTAATATATTTAAAATACCCCCCTTCAAATGCTATCCGGGTACATTACAAAAAAAATCGTATAAGATCGGGTATTAAGATTTAAAGATTTAATTGAAAATATCGAAGCATCCCCAGCTTGCGTACCCATTCTTGGTTAAGTACTCTTTTTTCCTGATAAGACCTGCGGTACGGTATTTCTGTCATGGAAATTTGCTATTTCCACCATGCTTTTCGCATGACTTTCAGATACATAAACATGACAAACATATGGGATATTACATATCGATATTAAAACAGCCATTTTTACATGTAAATTATTTTTAAATAAATCGGATTTAAGTAATCTATCACTATTTATATAAAAATTATTAAGCTTAGATAAGTTTTGAATACGTATTTGGATATAATATTCCTGTCTTAATCTTGCTAATGCAATTACAAATCTTTTAATTATACAATATACTGTACTACAACATATATATCACTTTTTAAAATTTGTCACTATCGCTACGTATATAGTTATTAATTTTGAATTTTAAACCTATTATATGCTTAATATAGCAACTATAATAATGGCTATATTAAAATTTTCTCCTGGTTAATAGACCCATGTACTAGATCCGGGTACGGATCTTTACTAAAATGCAATTCGGTTCAAAAATCTAGATTGCATGTTATAAATGCAAAGTGTCAAATTTTGATATAGACCTATTAGGGTTTTAAAATTGGAAATGTACTTAATCCAAACATTGTTTATGATCATTTACGGTATTTTTAACGTTCCATTCAAATAATAAAGTGGTTCTAAGCAAAATAATGTTTTGTCAAATACCGTAATCAATGATTTTGAATTATTTATAACCAACAAAATAAACGGCTATCAAATGTAAGTGTAAATTAGGGTTCTGCAAGTGCTGACACGCTCACTATTCAAACACAGTGCCAGGCACTAGCACGGATACTGTTTTAATAGTGCGTGTGTCGACACTTACAGAACTCTAGTATAATTGCGATTTATTATACCCAAACTAAATTACTCATAAACTAACTTTCTTATTATTTGCTTTTTTGAATACGAAATAAAAAAGTTATTACTCAAATAATATGCAAACGTAATATGAATGATAATTCATTCACAAACTTGACTGGCCCCACAACCCACCCCCTGATTTTCTTTGCTGTTCTGCCATCTGTCTAAACATTTCCATAGTTTCTTGTTCTTTTGAATGATACGCATTAACCTTTTCTTGCATACTGGCTGCCTTTTCTGCATTATATTCTCGTTTCCTTTGTTCACGTGAATCTTTAGCTCGTTGTTGAGATCTACGCCTAAAATCATAATCACTGATCAAAAATGGTGTTCCTGTATATGTTACAGGTCAAGTTGGTTTTTAGGTTAAGTTAAACTTGGCCCGGGTCAAATTGATCCCTAGCAGAATTTTAGGGTTAGGGCAGGCCGGAATTATGTTGATGCCGGCCAGGGTTTTTTAATTGATCAATTTGACCCGGGTCAAGTTTAACTTGACCTAAAAACCAATTTGACCCGTAACATACGTATGGCGATTTACAGTACATATTAAGCTTTCAGCATTTAAGTTCGTTTATAAAATAACCTATATATCGCGATTCATTATTAAATATTATTTCTCCATTCATTCATTAAACTAGGTGATGAGTTACACACTTTTAATAGAATCTATCATTAAAGTTCATTCATTTACATGCTTACGTGTTAAAACTACAAAGTTGTAAGTAGAGTAATATGTACTATATATTTATCGTCAAATTATTATTAAGTTTTCCTAGACTAGGATGTACGTACATTTATCGTTAAATAGAATTCACCATAACCTTAGTTAATGCAAATTCTATTGTCTCGAAAGACGTTCCTTGCAATTGCAGTTTTCCGGCAATCCTAATCAAATGCAACTTTTCTCACTAAACAAATTAATTTAGGGACGCGATGCATTATACAGTAAACTCTTTCTATACCAAACCCTAGATTCTGGCCAAAAAAAAAGCTCATTATATAGAATTACTATGTTTTCTTAAGAGCTGTAGCTTTTGTTATATCGAACTAATATTAAAATTTTGAGTTCATTATATCCAGAGTTGACTGTACTTGGCAGTAAAATTTATTAATAATACATTTTTTTAAGATGCTCATGTTGAGATCATAAATTATGTTAAAATGGAAATAATAATAAGGAAAATCAATAAAGAAATAATTATGAATAAATGGAAGAGATAAGGAACGATGAAGAAGGACATAAATACATAATACAAAATACTGATGTAAATTAAGTACGTTCCTAATTTAATAACTAATGTTAATAATACCGGCTCCTAATTTTGAAGCTTTAAACTTAGTTACACGATTTTTTTCTTTATAGAGGTAAGTTAGGGTGGTTCAGAAAAAGGACTTAAATACTCTCTGCAAGTGAAAATTTAAGTTAAATTAGTAAGTTTAAATTAGAAAGTGTTGCATCAATATTGAAGATACAAGAATAATAATAATAATACTAACTTTAGCTATATAATCAGTAATGTTATATTTAAATTCTCTGTTACCGAAATTCACATTGATTTCATCCCCTGGTCCGAGTCCGATGGAAGGGTAATACGAATTCAGATCCAAGCAACACTGAAATTTCGGAAAAGATGAAGGTTTTATTGTAAAAGGCCCTAAATTTAAGGTTATTTCTGGCAGAAAAAAAAGTTTTAAAATATTAATTGTAGTAATTCTATGTGTAATAATGTGACATTAATAAAGGAACTTATATAATACATACTAAGCTTTTCACCATTTCTTGTAATGAAATATTTGCTACTGCTAAAATTATAACCGAATCCAATAGTATCCCCAACTTCGAATCTGCCCAAAGATCCAATTCTCCATCCTCGGTGATATAAACTTCCGCAACCATAATATCCAAAAGAATGGTCGCACCTGCCTTTGATCTAATTAGTAACATTAATCGCAATATAATTTCAATTATCATTCAAACAATTACCAGGCATTTTATCAGTACTAACTGTTTCTTTGCTCATTCCAATGCCTATTTTACTAAATATTTCATATGTCAGTTTACATAAACACTCATCAAATCAATGCATACAGAGCGCGCTAAAATTATATAAAATACTATAAAGCATAGAATAATAGCTTTCAATCTCAAATTGAACCTATCCTAATTAGTTCATACTAATCGACTCTTATCTTTGGCTATTCACAAAGAAGTTAACTCACCTGCAATCGTTACTCGAATTAATACATATTTCATAGTAAAATAATTTAGTTGACGAATGGATTGTTTTATTTGCCATAATAGAGTGGATTTTACTCTCTAGTTTATATAATAAAAGTGGATAAATAAAATTAATTATACTAAAGTATTAATAATATGATATTGTATAGATACCTGGATTTTTAACTTTTAATTCGTAGTTATCTAGCTTCAAACTGCCACGTCTATTTATATCTAATTTAGATGGCAATTTATTACGAAACTCACGCCATTTAGACCCATGAATAACTGTTATATAATTTGGTACACCAGCCTATTTGAAAATGATATTTAGCACATTATGAATCTTAGACATAATGAAAAAACGATTATGGATAAAATAAATACTTCTATTAATTCTTTTAATTTCAATCTGATCATTCCAACATCCTTATGTTTTGGAAATTCAATCTTTGGATCAAATTTGGCGTCTTGAATAAATTTTATGAGCTCTCTTTTATTATTTTCCATATCAGTTTCGAGCTTTCTAAACTCACGGTAGACTTTATTTTCAATATTATGTTCCACATCATTTTCGGGCTCTTTAAACTGAAAGTAAATTCTACTTCCAATATCACGCTTTGCTTCCTCAATCTCATTTAATAATTGACCATATTCACAAATAAGTTTTATTGCTTTCTATTAATTATGATGAAGAAATCAAGTTAAAAAAAAATTTATTGAAGCTATTAAATTTGTCTAAAAATATATTTTTTTAAATATTACCATAGCATTCGCAATTAAGTCTGTATCATATTTTAAAATTTTACCCTCTAACCCCATAAATTCTGGCATTTCTTCGTAGGGAGCAACGTCAACATATGTTTTTACCGGATTTTTCAAAACTTCTTTTTTAAATTCCATGGCCTTTTTAAGTAATGTTATCAAATCTAATCCATCACCCTGAATTTGGAACATATATAACATTTACATTAAATATGAGCATACAGCAAATAGATAAAGTTATTAATTAACTCACTTCAAACTCCAAATCACCACCAATAATGCTTAAATGCACGTTACACTCAGTGGTCTCAAATAAATTTCTGATTGAGTTTTCTACTTCCTTAAAAGAGTTAAAAGATTTATTGAATTGAGTATAATATCATGCATAAAATGTATAACATAAAAGTGATTAAATACTTAACTGCCTCGTTCACACCAGAGAGAAATTGTTTCATTAGTCCGAACTTGCTTTTTATCTCACTCATTTGATTTATGCTAGTGTTTCTAATTTCTATCAGTCCACGAAATACTATTCAAAATTTATATGGTAAAGGAGTAAATAACACAAAATTCATAGTCAAAATTCATTGAATTTAGTAAATAGAACAACTCACCGCCACCCTTATAGACTTTGGAAACGAATCCATTGCCATACCTTCTGGTGAATTTTATCGGATCCGTGCATTGCTTTGCAAAGTTTAATAATTCTGAGGTCCTAAATACAAATAATGAAATTAAGAAAATTCAATGTAAATAAATTTGAATGCATCAATAAATTCTCACAGTTTTAAATCGTCTCTGTAGGCAGTTTCATTGTCCTCTATTTCCACTTCAGCACATACAGCAATCATAATCGAAGCTGATATTATCTATGATTATATAAAATATTAGCTATGTATTTATCTTGATTACTGGATTATACGTGTGGTTGAAATCATTTTAGCTCGTGTTGAAATAATTATTATCGTTAATGTTTACTAACATTTCGGAAACTAACGGAACTTCCAGAAAGATTGAAATTCAACCCCGAAAGATCCAAAGCATCAAAATTAAAACCACATGAAAATTTAATACCGAAAATTTCACAAAATTCATTAATATTTTGGACATATTTTATAGTAGTAGATGAGCTAGTTATTTTTGTGCTTCCTTGAATTTTCGATGAGTCAATATCACCAGCTACTGTATAATAGTGGAAGAGAACATAAAAATGTTTAAACTACACTATGCATATTATAAGTATAGTTAGTACTGCCTAATTGCATTATCCATTGCCCGGCCATGCAGCAAGTGTCTTTTTTGATACATTACAATAATGTAAATAATTTGAATCAAGAATGATATTTTTGAATGGCTGGGAAATGAATATGTATTTTCTGCCCTAATTATGGCCATAAGAATCAATCCTTCGTCGAAATTAACCCCAAATTTTTTATCCATTTTAGAAGGTTTACATGATACGTACAATTAGGCAGTATGGTAATCAACTGACGCTCCTCTAAAAGATAAACATACATTTTGCTGCTTCAGACATCATACATTTTCCTTCAAATGTATTAAAACTCTTTCCAAGCTTCGCATCACCATTGTATCTTACTTTATACATGATAATTGAAGTCTTTATTTTCAAGTTAATTCCAGAAAATAATCTAGTTTATATATACATATATATATATACACAGCCTACAAATTAATATCAACTCTTTAAGTAAGGATTTCTTAGGTGCATTATGTACGTAATGCAAAGACTTAAAGTATATCCTAATAAATCGTTCCTAATCGTATTGCTATTTGCACAAAACTAATAATGGGCTATGCAATTTGCACAAAAAATAGAATAACATTTAAGTATAAAAAAATTTTTTTGCTCAGCATTTTTGTGCCGAATTTCGAATACTAAGGAATTACCATAACTGTATTCGATGACAATAGTACGTAAAGACAATAAGAATGCAAATTTGGCCATCTAAAAACCTTTCGTAAATTACTATACGAATACTATACGTTGGGGTGTCCAATGTACTATGTAGATCAAACATATGTATAGTCCCATAGGAACATCGAATATATAAAATTTTGTGTAAC